CTTCATCTGCCCGATTTGAATCTGTGATATTCTAATATACCTAAATATTTAGCAGCCATGGTTTGATGGTTCTTCAGCAGTATTGGAAATCTATAGTCTATTGTTTCCTCTCTTGGCTGTCTAAGACATTTTACTGAAAAATTTGTTGGATGCTGAGGGAAACAGATGTAGGCACTGCAGTGGTTCAGATACCTGATCTTAAGTCTAGTGCCCAGCTGAGGTGGACATTAATGGCTGTGGAGCATTTTGAGTGTTTAGAAAGATTATCAAAAGTTATCCCATATAAGGGAAATGCAGGAAGTGAAATGGGCAATTATGGATGGCCAATTTTTACTGGAGTAGCACAGCTACAGTTGACTGTGTATTTATATTTCAGAGCAGTGCCTTGAACTAGGATTTAAAAATGGATAAACTCCATTTAACGTTCAGTAATGCAGTTTCTAGAGAAGCATGTTATTTTTTGTAATCTTTTTCTCTTCATCAGGAATGAGAGAACGTCTCATGTACTAGAAAAATGAAAGTTTGTTCAGAATTTTTTCTTCTATCTGTTGTCCTTCATCTCTTCTACAATAACTTCCATTATCATTGTCATCTAGTATTTATGTGGCATGGGTGTTTGCTGGATACTGCTGCCCTATATTGAATGAATGAGTTGGAAGATGCCCATGAAGTCTTTCAGTTTGTAGCTATGGAATAAAACAGAACTTGTTTATTTTCATATTATTTTCTTTCCATTTTTTTTTAAACTATTCAAGATGTGCTTATACTCTAACTCCATTTTGAAGACAGCTTAGCTCCACTCTGAATTTTTTTTGTCCATAGATGAAGTTGCTTAGATGTTTTATGACAATGACTGACTGGCTATAACCATAGGAACACAAACAGAACCAGCCATTTTAATGTTTAGCCAAGATCAGGCATCTATGTAAAAAGTTAGTAATCTACACTGCTTTTTAGACTTTTTTACTACTTAAATGCTATGAGCTTAGAACATCATTTCTTTAAGCTAAATGTATTGGCACCACTTCAGTGTGCTCTGGGCTTGGGTGCTTTAGAACTAGGTTGAAGACTGTCTTTCCAGTTATGTAAAATTTGTAAAACTACAGACACAGCAAAGTATTCTATAATAACTAGGTTTAGATGATCGCAATGCCTAGTTCAGTGGTTAAAGAATTTAGCTCACTGTAAGAGAATACATAGCCAACTTCAGAATGAACTGTAACAGTGTGGAAAATCAGAAAGCTGTGGGTTTAATCTAACTGCTTTGGGGCAGTTAGACTATCAAGCAAAGAATATGCTTGCATATGGTTTAGTACCTGAATATGATTAATTTGTGATGGTAAGATCAATTCTACTGCCCAGACCCTCACAGAGTACATTTCAGATTTTGAAGTCCTGTATCTTCAACAGTGATGTTTAATTTAATTTATTCTGTCTAACTCTGTGGTCTTATAGCTTTAAACTGAAGAAGTGTAGCAGAACACATTAAACTAGTTCATCATGATACAGAACAGCATAGACTCAACTATGTGCACCAGCATAGCTGATAAACTCTGTGGACATTTTATACCCTGTATGGTAATGACATACAATATTTTGTGCTGATTCTGTACTGTTCCCAAATATTATTTTATTTCTCATGCATAATTTTTAGTTATTCTAATTTTCTATTTTATTCAAAGCATTTTAGAAGCAGAGTCATGTGAAAAAATACCACAGTAAACATACTAGAAAAAATATACTGGATTAAAGGTTGTGTTGATGTATAACTGATATGTTTGGTGTTTAAAAAAAATAGTGAGGAAAGTGTTCTTCTATTTATTTCCCCTAAAGAACTCCTCTTGTACTTTTAATGCAGGCCTAAAAAAACTCTACTCAGGATTTTTAACTGTAGCATTTTCTTTTCATTTCCATAGGCATGTAGTCAGTTGTGGAAGAAAGAGGCTATGATACAGCTTTCTTTTATTTCCTTCTCTTCAAGATTTTGCATATCACAGGCACCAGATGTTTTCCTTTGCAGCTTTACCGTGTTCTGCTGTTCAGTGTGGCATTAGACAGAAACTGAAATGGGAAGTTGTGAGAGGGAAGGGTGATGAAAGAAACAGTTAGCATTGGCATAAAATTGAACTTCTTGGAGAGATTAAATATAAATTAATTTATCATTTACTCAGCATTAGATTGGAAACCATTTTATATTTTAACAGCTTAAAGTCATATTACACCACCAACATTTCTGCCAAACACCACGTTTAAATGTGATGTTTTGAAAGTAATTTTTTTAATACTCATTTTGGTTTTATGCTGATTAGGTCAATGCTTACAATTATGTGACATGGACCCATGTCACATGAAAGAGAAGTGTTTTCACCTGGAGTTGCACAGAGCATCTAATGTATATTTGAATACTTGATTCAGAAAAACAAAGGGCATCACTCTCAAAATTCTCGAAGAAATTAGTGAAATACATTCATCGCAGTAGTGAAACCCATCATATTCTTGAAGACCTAGAGATAAGTTTAAAGTGGAACATGGAATTTCTGGTTGCTTTTTATTATTATGTCAGTGTAAGTTTGTCAGAAATATTCCTGCTAAAAAAACCAGTACTGTCATGTTGCCTGCTTATTGTTGGGTAGCTGTGGCAGAAGGTTGTGTTTTTCAGAAAACTAACCTTTCTTAAAACCCTGTGATAAAATACTGGAGGTCTGTGCTATACTCCCAGGTCTACTGAGGTGGGCAGGTTTCCTCTGACCATTGCGTAGTGTACTATTTGTTCTTTAATTTGGGGATTTGAACATGATGTAAGAAATCTAACAAGAGATATCTGTAGTGCTTTACTAATGGTCAATTTGAGCTGCCAAAGAAGGCGTGTTTCTTAGGAGTCTTTTCATTTTGTTTAATGTGTGTATGAAGGGGAGAGAGCCTTAGGTGTGTAGTTTAATTTGAACAGGATGTAAGAAATCTAACGAGATATCTGTAGTGCTTTACTAATGGTCAATTTGAGCTGCCAAAGAAGGCGTGTTTCTTAGGAGTCTTTTCATTTTGTTAAATGTGTGTCTGAAGGGGAGAGAGCCTTAGGTGTGTAGTTTATTAGAACTAAATCTGGGTACTGCAAAAAATATTTGAGCATATTTAAGCAAAATACAGGCCAAGGTCTCAAAGTCTCTGGCATTACAAAATAGCTCCTGACTAGAGTTGGTTCAACCTGGAGGAGCTCTGCTCTTCATCTTCCAGGCACTGTTTTGCGTAATATAGAAATGATTGTACTAAAAATAAAAAAATTAAGAAGGATGGGGGGGAGTGTGTTATATTTTTTTAACTGATAATCATGTCTTTTGAGGGATTCTTTTTTTTTTTTTACAGTCTTTATGTATTTATGTACAATCTTCATTAATTTTATTTATAATGTTAAAAAATGGGTACAAAAGACAAATGGTTGTAAATAGACGATCAATTAGGCTAATCTATCTATTTGTGCATGAAAGGGCTGATGCAAACTCCTGAACAGAACTGTAGGACAAATCTGTTCTTCAAATAAAGTAGTTCATACTTGTCTTGTAAAAAAATTATCTATTAGCTTGGTGTAGACTCTTCTAAAAAGCAGAGATTTGTATTTGAATTAGTTGTACCCACTTCTATTTTTTATAGGCAAATTAGTTACTTTTTTACTGATAATAGATTAGCTTTTCTGTTATGAACTGTACCTATAAATTTGTAATGAAGTGTCATCTAAGAATTTTTAATTACATGGCAACAATTATTCATTAGAGATTCATTGTTATTTTTCAGTATAAATTAGTGAAAAAAACTAGTGGTAGGACAAAGAAACCAGCCATGGAAGTAAATATAAAATGACCTAGTTTCTTTAACATAATAAAATTGGTGCAAGAAACATATTCTACAATTTTGGGGTTTTTTTTCCACTGAAAGTTCTGATGTGGAAGCCACAGAGACATTTTCAGTGATCCTTTTGGGCATTAAATAATGTTCTCTTCATTTGCTGGAATAGGATTAGTGAGTAAAGCTCATTAGGAATTTGCACGTGACTTTATTTTTATGTAGATAAAAGGCAGCAAATTCCTCGAAGTCAGAGAAAGTCAGGAAAATAATATTTAAGAACCCAAGCAGGTAGAAAGCAAAGATATTTTTTCAGTGCCTGCCAGGCAAAATTATCTTGCTGCCTTTCTTTAAAGGATATATGCTAAGTATCAGAATCAGGAAAGCTCCTGGTAACTTAATGAATAACATCCACAGTAAAAGATAATGAAGCATTGAAACAATTATTTTTTTAAAATTATTTATTAATTTATTTTTTTTACTGGAGCACAGCCTTAACAGAAGAAAATGTGGAAGTTGATCGTAAATCTATTGGTTGATAATATTTTATTAGAAAGAAAGAAGTCTCATTATTCTCGTTATTAAGAGAGATAGAAATGTAATGTTTTTGTTATGTACAAAGCTACCTGTAAAGGCATCCTTTGTTCTTCATGGCATATTTATGACCTGCCCTTCTACTCCATCTCACTTTATTCCTCAGAAAAGATGTATTTATAGTCCAGGTTTTCAAAACCAGAATTTCACAACATACATTAGTCATCACCTTCACCTTCTGCTTCCTTTGAAATTAATGCCAGTTAGAGAACCCTGTAAAATTGTTCCGATCTCGCTGACTATGTCAGGATTGTTGGATAATCTCTCTCTGTTACAACAAAAAATTTTCTGCATAGTGCTTACAACATGCATGAGTATTTGTGAACAAATGGTGAAAAAGAAAAAATCCTGAAGACCTGAATAATTGCTGTATTATTGTATAATCTGCTGATATTAAAGCTGTTTTGATGTGCTGTCTTGAAAACAAGATGAAGGTCTATTGTTTACATCTGATACTAGGAACACTTTTATCTGTTGAAGAATCAGTGTCTTGTGTTATAGTCACAAGTTAATTTGTAGAAAGAAGTGATTGCAGTCATTAACAGTAATGCATATGTGTATGCAATTCTTAGACATATGAAGGACCAGAACAAGAAGGTTGCCAATCTGAAGCACAATCAGCAAATGGAGAAAAAGAAGAATGCACAGTTGTTGGAAGAAGTTCGTAGGCGAGAGGACAATATGACTGACAATGCTCAACATTTACAAGTGAGTTTATTTTTCACTTGGGTTTTAAAACCGTCAGAGTACACTTCTTTTTCACTGTGTGTCTTTCAGGATGTGTAATGAATCTCTTCCCACAAAAAGCTGATGGCTCTCTCCTTTCCTACCAGGGGATGCTCTAGTGACTTCAGTTGCATCCATGAAATTTTTACTACTTAATGGTGAGGAGAAAAAACAATAGGATGTGAAGCCCTCTCCTCATAAGGATTGTATTTTGCTTATTTAGAAGCAAGTAAGTCATTATGGCTTCTTTTGCAAAGAGGCAGAAAACAGAAGAATAACTATCCTTTCTGGATTCTATTTCTATGCTTTTCACAGCATTATATCCACAAACCATAGTGAGGTAATATAATCTGGTTATGAATTTCAACATGTCTGAGTATCGAATAATAGTGTGCTGCAATTTTGTTTTATTTATTTATTTCTTATTGGTCAGACATTGACATCTAGGTGATTACCTCTGTAAAATACAAACCAGTTTTTCAGGCACATTCAATTGTATAACAAACTCCACCATATTTTTCAGTGTGGAGATTGATTGCAACAACATTTGAGAACCATAAGCCTGTTCCTGTTCTATGTTTCTTCTAGATGTAGCTCTCAAATTTAAATTCCACTGTCTGGGAGTGAAATTCTATATCAACAGGGATACGATCATCTGGTTGCATGCTCGGATCCTTTAAGGAGTGTGATTTGATCTTAAGTCTCTCTATGTGCATATGTAGTGGGTTAAAAGGGTGAGCATAGATTGCCTAACAGGGTAATTAATGGTGAATTTAGAATCTTCATCAAAGATCACTTTTATCATATGTACTTAGATGTAGCATAGAGGATTACAGCTATAGCTGTGTCATTTGACAGATCTTTCACAATCATTTCTGCACAGCTCCTACATCAGCACTTTTTTACAGTCAGAAAAAAAAAAAGAAAAGGTTTCCCCATATCTCTTATTTAAGGTAGACTTTGAAACTTATTCCAGGAGAATTTTTACAGTTTGCAAGTTTTTAAGTTCAGGCATTGAGATTTGAAAGATAATTAGATGATCCGGTTAAATGATACATTATTGTCTAGGGAATTGGTATTAAAGGCCAGAAACCAAGATTGATGCTTGACTTCAAAATTATTCTCTGAGATCTGACCATGCAAAGCTGTGAAGTACTGATTTCTGTCAACATCATCAATGTCTTCATACCCAGTGTTCATAGGCACGTCTGATTTACAGTGCAAATTGGCTTTGATCTAGTTAATCTAATGGGTTTCTGGAAAATTTCCAGTAGATGAAATTTGACCCTCACATGCTTCATATGGTACTGTATTTGTCATGTGTTCCTGTATGCAAAACGGAGAGATTAACCCAACACCTGTCTTCAGGCCTTTGGTGGTGAAACTGTATGTCAGAATCAAGTTTGGGAAATGGTACATTGTTTATGCATCTGTTTAGTGTTATGTATACTTTATCACCTTGGTCTTTACGTACTGATTGCATCACCATGCGTTCCACTGCACTAGATATAGTAATGAAACCTTGTGAAGTATTTGGTCTGACAATATGACAAATCAACATTAAATTCAGTGTCGAGCAGCTACTTCTAATTAATGTTGCTCAGTAAAGTAAATGAATTCAATTTCCAAAATAATACTGAAAAGATAAAGCTCTGTCAGAGTGGTGTAATCACTAGAGAATAGAAGTCATTCCTAGGGTCTTTGATGTAACTGCTGTACTAGAAGCTTTCAAGTCATGTGATGAAAATGGGTCTACCAAATGGAAACAGCATGGCTGAACAGCTGGATTTAGAAAGAGAAAACCTTGTCTGGTGCACAGCTCTTCTGTGCCTTTCACTTGCTATAAAGCATTTACATACTAAGAACAGATTATGAAAGCCAGTTAACTAAGAACTGTTACTTCTCTGTTACTATTCCTGAAAATATTAATATTTGAATACTGTGTACTTCAACATACTACTTTCAGTAACATATGTATGTGTCGTGGCCCATCCTATGCTTGCTGACCTGCTGGGATAGTGAAAAAGAGAGGATCCCAGCTGTTTCTGCCTCCTAGTAGGTGCGTTGCATTCCCTAACTCTTCCTTCAGTAGCTACAAGAACAAGGGAAGGAAGTGAGTACTGGTTGTCTGTGTGGCTGGTGTGCTGGTACAGCTAATTCCTTAAAGTTGACGATTGTGTTCATGCAGGTGTGGATGTGTTCCCTCATGGCGGCTTGTGGCTTTAGTGAATTAGACTGGCTGTCGCTGCATGGTTCATGGATGAGGCAAATCCACCTGAATGAAAATGGCTTATTTGCCTTTACGAATAGAGCCATATAATACCTGGAGATATGCAGTTGCAAAGAGAAGTTTGACTGTACTATGATGCGTTCAAGTAAATCCCTAAGGAAGCAAAGTGAATGGAGAGGGTTGGAGAAAAGCAGCTGAACTTGAATATCTGTCAACTTTTTCCTTCCCCAGCAATTTAAGATACAGAGTTGCTGTGGTCTGGCAGGTACAGGAGACGGATACCATTTTCACTGCTTCAGGGTCTCCTTTCCAAAATGGGCTTCCTAGTGCGTGTTCTTGTATGATCATTTCTTTCATAAGATTAAGGAAGATGGGGTGGTGGTAGCATCTGGGGCTGGTTTTAATGTTCTTGTGATACTTCGAACTTGTTCTTGTGAACTTTGAGGGTTTGAACTAGATGATCTTAACATCCTTTCCAACCCTAACTATTCTATGATTCTGTTCTATAAAGGAATTGTTATTCTCTATGGAAGTTCCTTAGGGTTTGCTTTTGAAAATTAATCACAAAATTAATTCTTCCAGTAAAACCTCATGATACTACATCTAATGGAAACATGTCCCTGCCTCACATGTTGGGAGCTTGAGGTTTCCATATCATTGCAAGATATGGGGAGCTTTTATTTGTTCTCCATAAATGCCACAATGAATCTAAGCAAATAAATAGGTTGACATTGAGTAGTGGAGGTAACATGACTGTGATGTGCATTTATTCTGTTAATAGGAGAGTATTTTGATTTAAATGGTATGTTTTGTTTGTTTTATATGTGTAGAGTAGTTACAAGTATTATGTGAGAGCATTAAGTCGTGTTCATATGTGAATCTGAGAAGTAGGTGGTTTGACTAGTTAAAAGCCAACCAAACTCTAAAGCTCCAGTCAATTAGCCTTGGTGTACAAAGGAAAATTTTGCCTGAGAGTTGTTTAAAATACCCCTCATTCTCCCTGGAGTTTCTTCTCAGAAAAAAGTTTTTCCTTTTAAAAATTTTCATCAAGAACACTGGTGGATGCAGTCATGATTTTGATTGGTTTGTATGGCTTGTTATTTCAGGGTGATTTTGATTTGAGGCTTTTGTGCATGGTCACATAAAACTGTTTCATGTATTTGGCATAAGATAAATGTTTACTGCTGTAATATTTAGCCACAAATGCCTGGGTGCAGGAATGGAACATACCTGCAGGTGTGAGTATGCAGGTCTGAGTATGCAGCTATATTTGTGAGTGTTCTAGATTTGATCTTATTTAGGCATGTGTTCAAAAGGATACATATAATGCAGTATGTAGCAGGTAAATTTATTTTCTTTCCAACCAACCCAAGGATACAACACTTTCCTCAAGAAGCAGACCAGAAACTGAAGTTCTTCTCATGATGTGAACATATACAGAATTCAAATTGGGATGTAAGAGTTGACTAGATGAATCATCTGACAGAGTAGAATATTTGTTCAGTCTTGATACTAAATTTCTGTTTATAAATAATATATAAAGTTACTAAAATGTTATAACTGTAGTGATCTAAGGGTTTAAGTAAGGCAGGATTTGTGGGGAGACACATGATATGAGATACATGATCTACTTTGAAAACAAGTTTCTGGGAGTAAGTATGCATTTGGTAATTAAAAATAAAATTAATTAGTATTTCAATAAATATTGAATTAACGTTTTAGTAAAACATAGAGATCTGACCAGCTTTTCTTGTTATTGTTTATAATACCTTCTACTATGTTTAGTAGAAACGCCTGATGTTTATAAGCTTCTGTAACACATAGTGCTTGTGTCCATAGTGTACTTGTTACATTTGTGAATGATGTATTGAGCTGTTAGGGTAAAGTATATATTCTCTGGCCTGATGTAATGATTATATTTGTTGGCTGGCTGTGATAAGCTCAGCTGAGAATTCAAGAGCAATTATACTAGTCAAATTACATTCACTCCTGCCAAGTCTCAAGTGCTGGAAAAGATGTAGTAAGAAAATTACTATAACTGTCCATGGGCCATCCAGGGCAAACTGAAGCAATCAGCTGAAGTGCCATCCATTTTGTGCAGCTCAAGTAGGGGCTGAAGCTCTACCCATTGAGCTGTCCATTTGCTTTCTGTTAGGTTTGAAGAAGTTCAGAAGTCTGTAGATTCTTTGAAGCTTCAATAGTATGAAGTAGTTCCTGGGACTTGTAGCATCATGTATATTTGTGACACTTTTTAACTATCTTTTCAGATAAAAGCCTCCCAAAACTGGCTCACATCCTACCATCAGTGCTTGCAGGTCAAGTTTGAGTCTCTGATGGCTCCATCTCACAGCACTCCAGGGCTGCTGCTGTAATGGAGAGTGCCCTGGGATGCCTGGGGAGGGAATTCACTTTGGTCTCCCTGAGCTATCAGCTATAATTGTGAGTGATCCTTCAGGTGTGGTTTTGGGGGTTATTAGGATCACTGTAAAATTGGAAACATCAGGGAGCCAGACTTCAGATTAATTCTTGGAAATGAAGAATAGTTGTGAGGTTTTCTGCTTTTTCCTTCCACAAATCAAGGGCAGACCTGTGCAAATCTTGCCAGACATGATGGTCATATATTACGTAAAGCATCACAGCAGGAGAGCTGGCCCTTGAACACTTTATCATGAAATTTTTTGAGAATGGTGTATCTAACATGCCTTCATTTTTTCCTCTTTTTTTCAGCTGTCTCAGAAAGATAAGTCTTTGA